AAAGTGCCTTGAGATGACATGTGTTGTGAATTGGCGCTATAGAAATAAACTGAATCAAATTGAATTATATGATTCAAAATGAGTTTATAAATTGTACCCCTGATAATTGACGTTACAGGTTCTATGTGCTTCTATAGGTACCAACCGTTTCTGCAACGACATCCAGCTCATGCTGGGTTTCTATCCGGGTGGGTTCTGGAGGATCTGCTGGGTGGCCATCTGTCCCTGTTTCCTTCTGGTCAGTCTCAAACGTTTGGTGAACTTTGCTAAAGGAGACAGTTATCTGAACATTTCATGATTGTTTTTTCCCTTTTTTTTGTGGTCCTACATAGTTTATCATTATCAGTTTCCTGGCGTTCCCTCCAGAGGTGAAGCTGTTCCACTACCAATACCCACCATGGACAACTGCCCTGGGTTACTGCATCGGCGTGTCCTCATTCATCTGTGTGCCTGCTTATATGGTCTACCACTTACTGAATGCTAAGGGTACATTCAAGCAGGTGAGAAAGTATCATTTTTAACGTCTTTTCTGTTTGTTTTAGTTGTCCTGTGTTTCCTCGCTGTACTTAGGTTTCCATTTCCTTCAGTTTTTATCCTATCATGTCTTTTCTACGAATGTCTGCCACTTACTCGAGAAACAAGGACTGCCTGTAGGCCGCTGCTTGCTGTGAACTGTCAGGGTCTCCCTTCTGCTGTGAACACATGACTTGGGATCAGGATCAAAGGAGGAAGTGCAGACCAGAGATTAGAGAGAAAAAGCAGCATCTAGATCAGACACATGCACCATGCTCCCAAACGCACACTGATGCCCTGAAGTCCAGCCTCTCATGTTACCGACAACAAAGTTAAAAGAGATCATACACCATCTATTCTATGCTGTATTTTAAAATGTATTTCTGACTGCAGTAAAAGCTGCACTCATTCCTTTTTTGGGGGCAATTACACATTAAATAAAAAAATAAAGTCTTAATAAATCATCACTCATGACGGTGTATTCAGAGCTGACAGAAGGGAGAGGGACATCAAAGAGACTCGCGGACAGACTTTCTCTGGCGTCCGTCCAGCGCTGTCAACTCACACAAAGGGATCGACATAAGTCAACAAATAGGAGTATTGAGTTTGTGTGCATATGAGTTAGAAGGAAAGGAAGCCGCCAACATGTAGATCAGGAGGGCAGATGAGTCAACATTTATTGCAGTTTATTATTGCATTATAAACTGATTTAAAAGGCGAAAGATAAAGTTAGTGGCGCATTTGCACTCACCTACTTTCATTCTGCACTGTTTGCCAGAATGCTAATGCTAATTAGCTCCAACAAACATGACTCTCACATACTATTGCTGCTAGTGCAGAATCCTTTCATGTCGAGGTTGGCATTGTAACTGGAAGTAAATATTTATACATTTTGGACCCATCAAAGTGTATAAAACAATCATATATA